AAAGAATAAAGAGAAAACTGCTATAGCAGGAGATTCTGCAAAGCCAATGAGGTGTGCACCACTCAGTCTTGGGGGTCAGTAGCAGACCGCTGACCAGAGAAACCAGTATATACTGAGCTTTCAGCCACAACCTGCCCAGGCCATACCCAGTGCAACCAAAGTTCAGGCAGACCAGGAGAGGGGGTCTGTCTAATTACCACAAGCTACCACAAGCTACACAAGCTTCAGAAAGCTTCCTGGCAATACGTTAGTAATGAATAAATATGATATGTTAGGTTAGGCTGACCTAACCTAACCTAACCTAACCTAACCTAACCTAACCTAACCTAACCCAACCCAACCAAATCAAACCAAACCTAACCTAACCGAAGCTTGGATCGTCGACTTGATTTGGCGTCACCAGCTTTTTATTTTCGTCTAATTTCTTTATAAAAAGATACTTTTTCAGATTAAAATTATGTTTTTTCGTGTTGTACATTCAGCACCAACATTATAATGAGTAAATATATCATATTTATTCATTACTAACGTATTGCCAGGAAGCTTTCTGAAGCTTGTGTAGCTTGTGGTAATTAGACGGACCGAGGAAAGGCTTGAGATTTTGACAGGTCATGCAGCACCTACCAATGATCTGATAAAAATGGGAGGTATGCCAAAGTAACACATTTGATGAGAGAGGAATAACGACCTGGCGTCCCAAACTAACCCCAACCACTGGATGCCATTGTGAAGGAGCCTGCTGGGACTTTGGGTAATTGACAAAGAACCTAAATTGTTCCTTCATGAGTAACAGCACATCCCTAGTCTGCAGACAAAGCCAACACCTTGAAGCCAAAACCAATAAATTGTTAGGGGTAAGGTAGGCCAGTGTGCAGATTGGGGTACAAGTCAGCGAGACTTACCTAAGCACCTTCTCTCTACACATCGGGAACTCACAGGTGTCTCACTAATTGGGTCAACTCACTGACCCGTGGGAATTCAGTGACTGGGAATGCCCATGTTGGTGAACTCCATAACATCATATATTCTTAGCTTTTTTCTTGAGGCTCATGGGGACTCCAGTGTAGACTGGAATTTCCAGCAGGGACTCTACAGGAAAGTCTTCAGGAGTAATTTTATAGCCTACAAATGCTGTAAGAACTCAGGGAAAACCTGGTAAATTCTTTATGAAGTCTGCACGGATTTCATACCCTACGAACAGAGCAGGGACTCTGGTAAACCCAAAATGGACTGTTCATTCATGCCATTTAAAATACTGTACACTATACTTGAAAGTCTATGTGGATTTTACACCGTAATCGCCCCCAATACCCCAAAAATTTATTTATTTATTTATTTATTTATTTATATATATACAAGAAGGTACATTGGGTTTGTGAGAATACATTGGATAGTACAGTATTTACATTCTTGTAAAGCCACTAGTACGCACAGCGTTTCGGGCAGGTCCTTAATCTAGCAGATAATTTTAAGTAGGTAATTTCAATCAGAATTGAAAATGGAAATGGAACGAAAAATGAAAAATGGAAAATGAAATGGAAAATGAAAAATGGAACATTTAGTCTACCCTGTTAAGGTGGTTTGTGCTGCTGCCAGGTGATGGTTTATGTATCGACTAGTTATTAACCCATATATCAGCTAGCTGAACAATAACGGCTTTTTCCTCGACTTTTAATTATCACTCACTAATTCATTAATTTATCACTTATACATACCAATAATACATTAACAAATGTCTCATCCTCTTTTTGGAGGCCGAGGGTACCAACAAATGCAGCTAGAGGTGGTACCCCCCATACCAGTATATATATATTATATTGTATTCAATGGACTTATAAACTGAACCATATGATACACGTCCACGGTTGTCTCAAAATTCAACATATAACCCAATGCAATTGACTACATTTACAGTACTTGGACACTACTGAAAAAAATGTAAAAACAAAGAGATAAGATGCTTTTCACATGCAACAATTGAGTTACATTTTTGCGAAATATATTATCAGCTGTGCGGTTACTGCAAATTGTGACCTGGGATCAGACGGTCTACACAATAACGACCCGGGAATACAACTGATATGATTACATGACACCATACTCCAAATGAAACAGGTTTACGTCTGGTTTACTGCTGGCTTCCATCTCTGTCAACTGGACATGGTGAGAAGGAGAGAGGGGGGGGAAAAGGAAAGAGAGAAGGGGGGGGGAAAGAGGAAAGAGAGAAGGGGGAAGAGGAAAGAGAAGGGGGGAGAAGAGGAAAGAGAGGGTGAGAAGAGGAAAGAGAGGGTGAGAAGAGGAAAGAGAGGGTGAGAAGAGGAAAGAGAGGGGGAGAAGAGGAAAGAGAGGAGCAGAAGAGGAAAGAGAGGGGGGGGAGGGGAGAGAAGGTAATTATCAGGAGAAAGCGCTGAGTCATTACGACTATATAGCACTTGGAAGGAATACGAAGATATGCTTTAGGATAGAACGGAGGAAATTAATGGTACCCATCTGCTAGGACGGTCGGGGATTGAACGCCGACCTGCATGACGCGAGACCGACCAAGAGGAGGGTGGGGAGAGGGTGAAGAGACAGGGAGGAGGAGGGAGAGACAGGAGACAGGGAGGGAGAGAAAAGGGGAGGGAGAGGAAAGAGAGGGGGGTCGTGGAACACAAAAAAGGGGAAGGGGGAGGGAGAAGAGAAAATAGTGAGAGGAGAAGAGATCGAGGGAATAGAGTGAAAGCGCAGAGAGAGGGGTAGACAAAAGAGAAGAGAAAAGGAGGAAAGAGGGGAGAAGAGGAAAAAGAAGGGGAAAAGAGGAAAGAGGGGGAGATAAGAGGAAAGAGAGGGGGAGAGAATAGGAAAGAGAGGGAAAGAAAGGGGGGAGAGATGAGGAAAGAAAGGGGGGAGAAGAGGAAAGAGCGGGGGAAAGAAGAGGAAAAAGGAAGAGGAAAGAGATGAAGAGAGAGAAGAGGAAAGAGAGTGAGTGAGAAGAGGAGAAAGAGACTGAGAAAGAACTTTACTTGGCAACTTAAAAACAAATTCTCATTCAGTAATTATTTACCTAATTTCACATTTCTAAATTTGTACTTGAAAGAGTGAAGGCACATTACAGGGCGCCCATCCGGCCCTTGCAGCCGGAGCTGCCAGCCGCGGGTTGCACACTGTCTGTTCATGGTGATGGTGGTAGTGGTGGTGATAGTGGTGGTGATAGTGGTGGTGGTGGTGGTGGTGGGGAAGAGGGAGGTGGGTGGAATATTATATATAGTATTATTCATATTATGCATATGAATCATATATATAATGGTTGAAGAAGCGACAGGGAGGGCCTTCAGAGGACTAAATATTATTGTTGTTTTTAGTGTTGCTGTTGGAGGTGGAGACCGTAGCTCGGGGGTGGGGGGGGGGTGTTAGTGGTGTTGATTATGGTGCGAGTTGCGAGGGAGGGAGGGGGGGGGCGGGTAGTACTGTTTTATAACATAATAATTAAGTAACTGACTACTGGCCCATGTGAGACAGCTCCTATTTAGACATAAAAGATGGAGGGAGGGGTAACCCATGGTGCTTGGGTCTCGCACATGCACCCTCCCCCTTCTTTTCTCTCTGCTCTCCCTCTCTCTCAATCTTCCCCTTCCTCCCTCCCCTTCTCACCCCCCATTCTTCCCCTTCTTCATATTTCCCCCCTCCCCTATCTTCCCCGCTCCCCACCTCATGCAAGAGCAAGTTCTTGCTCCTGTAAATTGTTAGCTGAATCTTCTGCTTGTGTCGGGGTCACGTTTTTGTCAATGTCTTTCAGAACTCTTTCCTCCGTGTCGTGTGCGGGTGAGAAATGTCCCTGTACATGAGTGGAATAGGTGGGACAGAGTCTGTAGTGTTGGCCAGTTCATTTCATCTTTTATGTATTAAGATTATCTATTGTGGACAAGGACTTGCTTCGATGGGGCTGGTGGTGTGGTGGTGGTGGTGGTTGCACTTACCTATTAGTGACTACGAGGAAGCGAGGTCTAGCTGTGGTGGTGAGGGGTGGTTGTGATGGGGGTTGAGGGAAGGTGGGTGTGGGTAGTGTTGAGTGGCTGTAGGTAGCGGTGATGGTGAGGGGATGTAGGTGGTGGTGGTGAGGTGGTGGTGGTGGTGAGGTGTTGGTGGTGGTGGTGAGGTGTTGGTGGTGGTGGTGAGGTGTTGGTGGTGGTGGTGAGGTGTTGGTGGTGGTGGTGGCGTTGGTGGGTGGTGGTGGTGTTGGTGGTAATGGTGTTCGTGGTGCTGTTGGTGGGTGGTGGTGTTGGTGGTTTGTTGGTGGTGTTGGTGGTTTGTTGTTGTTGTTGTTGTTGTTGTTGGTGGTGGTGGTGGTGGTGGCGGCGGCGATGGTGGTGGCGGCGATGGTGGTGGCGGCGATGGTGGTGGCGGCGATGGTGGCGGCGATGGTGGTGGCGGTAGTAGTGGTGGTGGTGGTGGCGGCGATGGTGGTGGCGGCGATGGTGGTGGCGGCGATGGTGGTGGTGGTGGTGGTGGCGCTAGCGCCGGCGTGCTCCGCCGTAGAGTATCAAGTTCCTAAACACGCCTCTCCTCCCCCCGTCAATATCTCGTGTTTGTCTTTCATTTATGTCTCACTACTTCACAAACCTCGGTGCCCCCACCAACCTGGCACACCACGATGTTTTCCACACATTATCTTCGCCACATCACAACTTACGGATAATAAAATGACACCACAAACGAGGCAGCATATCCCTTAAAGATAAAAATTCGTCTACCGTCACTTACAAGAGCCGGGAGGGGAAAGTAGGACAACTTAACTGGCGTAGGAGTGGCCAGGTTTTGCAGTGTTAGTGAGGCCGCGGTGGAGAGAAGGTGCCACACTCCTGCCTCTGTCCCAACACTGACATGACCACGCTCCACCGCCCACAATACTGTATACCTCGATTTCCAAATTGCTTCTTTCGTATATAACCAGAAAATTATCCAACTAATGTATAATTGTGTGTGTTTGTGTGGGGTAACGTGTGTGTAATTTATTATTTCAGACGTACTTGAGGAAGAAGAGGAGGAGGAAACCAATGTTAAAATTTTTATTAAAGAAGCCAGTGAAAAGGTGGAATATGAGGAGGTCGAGGAAGAGAGTGATGAAGAGCTGAGAGAGACTGCGGACCAGACTCGAGAGCCATTCACTAATGACACACTGGAAAAAGTTCAATGGCGTTCAGGTTTCCAGAGGAAGTACTCGGTTACACATGACCTCGGGCGAGGGAGATTCAGGTAAGATTTGTTTCCTCATACACTCTTACGCTTTTGTATTTTCTCGTATAATAACAATAATCATTCAAACAACAGTCATTGAGTGGCACTAGCCATGGCAAGGGATCTGTCACTTGAAGATCGTAGTTAAGAGCATAACCAATACAGTGCCAAGGGGGGTGGGGGCGTGACGCGTCCTGACCAAGTCAAGAGCAGGTGGCGGTGAAAGTTCCAACCAACAGACCAGTGACTCCAGACACTCACGTCACACTTCAAATAAAGAACATCAGTGGCTAAACGTGTTTCCTACTGACCCCCCCACCTGTTCTGTCTCCCAGGAGGATGAAGGTGGCCATATTGCACACTCCAGTATTTAAGGTTATGTCGCTCTACCTGTTAACACCGACCTCATGTTAAGGAGTGTCAAGCCTCGTGCGATCATCTTGTTAGGAGGCTCAGCATGTTCATGACCTTGTAGAATGATGTAGTCACCTCAGGTAACCTTTCTGCACGTCTGTACCACACTGTGGGGTCCCCTACCGCCAGCCACAATGTGCACCCCCTCCCACCACCCACACTGGGACTCCCCCTCCACCACCCACACTAGACTCACTATTATTCCCCACATTAAACCATTGGCAGCTAATAATGTAAGAAGATATCACGGATATACCCGAGGCAACATTACATGCTGGCTTTACCAGGGTGTTTGGTGTATATGTGTACTTAACTAGTTGTGCTTGCGGGGGTTGAGCTCTGGCTCTTTGGTCCCGCCTTTCAACGGTCAATCAACTAATATACAGGTTCCTGAGCCTACTGGGCTCTATCATATCTACACTTAAAGCTGTGTATGGAGTCAGCCTCCACCACATCACTTCCCAATGCATTCTCTATTGTCTCTAACAGTGTGGTGAAGCGATGCCAACGCCAGCGTGATGGACGGGAGGTGGCCGCCAAGTTTGTCCGTCGAGGCCGCCAGGAGGAGAAGGAGACGGAGGAGGAGTACCTCTTGCTGCGTCGCCTGCGTCACCCATCCTTCCCCCGCCCCTACGCCCTCTACACCGCCACACCAAAATTTAATATTCTGGTCATGGAATTGTAAGTACCGAGTTTTTAACACCTTTCTTTTTCGTAAAGAGTACTTGAACGAGTTTTTGAGTAACGAGTCGTTGAAATTAAATACAATTACACAAATACTCACTATGACCAACGTACATTTCCAGTATTTTTTGTACACAAAAATTACCTGAATGTATATTTTTCCTTAAAGTGGTATCATTGGTATATTTGTTCTTTTAAGTGAATAGATAAATCTTAACAAAAATTATATATACCTGTATATATGTAATGTTCATGAATATGACACTGATTCCTTTACGTAATTTAATTCCATAATTACTAAAAAGTTGAACAATTAAAATACTCAGCACAAATACAACTGTCATACAATCTCAACAGCAATACGTTTCATAACTAAATTTAAAATTTGAAGCATAAATGCCAGCAATTAAAAATGTTGTAATCAGTACCCTTGAAAGCAAAAAGAGTTGCTGGCTTGGTGTTGGGCTTAAAGGCCAATCAACCTCCGAAGAGCTATTAACACCACCACAATAACTTACTGACCAAACAGCAAGTATACACGTATACCTGAAGTATACTTAAAGTATACTTGTGTGTACTCTCAAGTGTGCATAGACCGTGAAGCGGGTAGAGGAAGAAGTTGAAGATAGGCTTCACTCCAGAGCGGTAACATGGGCGCATGGCGGGAGAAATAGCCTAAGCTACTCTATCTCTTTTGAGATGTATTTTATTGTCTCAATAAACGAACTTGAACTTTAATGGCACATGTAAGATGGTCTAAAGGTGAGTGCGGGCCCACATACACATCACTACCGTCACAACCTTCAATGTACAAATGCTCTGTGTTGATCAAATGTTTTAATTGACTTTTAAATGAATGTTTGATGTAAAATATAAATTGATGGAAAAATGAATGAAATTGTGTAATGTTTGGGAATACTTTCTTTCAATTATTTGGTTATTATTGATAAATTTAACATTTAGAACATTAACCAACAATCACTCACTAGAATCTTCATTGTCCTCAATGACTAATACGTTATTAGCACAGAGAGAGAGAGAGAGAGAGAGAGAGAGAGAGAGAGAGAGAGAGAGAGAGAGAGAGAGAGAGAGAGAGAGAGAGAGAGAGAGAGAGAGAGAGAGAGAGAGAGAGAGTGTGTGTGTGTGTGTGTGTGTGTGTGTGTGTGTGTGTGTGTGTGTGTGTGTGTGTTCTGGATTGGGTGTTCACGAGAGAAAATGTTCTTCAATAACACGTTACCAACAGAGTGATGGGTTTACCTCTACTGGACTGGGTGTTTACAAGAGAACAGACGACGGAGGCAGAGTGCGCAGTGTTGCTGGTGCAGGTGATCAACGCCCTCCAGTACCTTCACTCTTGCCGCATCCTGCATCTTGACCTGAAGGTAAGCCACGAAGGAAACACTCTGGACCTGAAGGTAAGCCACGAAGGAAACACTCTGGACCTGAAGGTAAGCCACGGAGGAAACAATCTGGACCTGAAGGTAAGCCACGAAGGAAACAATCTGGACCTGAAGGTAAGCCACGAAGGAAACAACCTGGACGTGAAGGTAAGCCACGGAGGAAACACTCTTGACCTGAAGGTAAGCCACGAAGGAAACACTCTGGACCTGAAGGTAAGCCACGGAGGAAACAATCTGGACCTGAAGGTAAGCCACGGAGGAAACAATCTGGACCTGAAGGTAAGCCACGGAGGAAACAATCTGGACCTGAAGGTAAGCCACGGAGGAAACACTCTGGACCTGAAGGTAAGCCACGGAGGAAACAATCTGGACCTGAAGGTAAGCCACGGAGGAAACACTCTGGACCTGAAGGTAAGCCACGGAGGAAACAATCTGGACCTGAAGGTATGCCACGGAGGAAACAATCTGGACCTGAAGGTAAGCCACGGAGGAAACAATCTGGACCTGAAGGTAAGCCACGGAGGAAACACTGGACCTGAAGGTAAGCCACGGAGGACCTGAAGGTAAGCCACAATCTGGACCTGAAGGTAAGCCACGGAGGAAAGGTAAGCAATCTGGACCTGAAGGTAAGCCACGGAGGAAACACTGGACCTGAAGGTAAGCCACGGAGGAAACAATCTGGACCTGAAGGTAAGCCACGGAGGAAACACTGGACCTGAAGGTAAGCCACGAAGGAAACAACCGAAGGAAACACTCTGGACCTGAAGGTAAGCCACGAAGGAAACAACCTGGACCTGAAGGTAAGCCACGTAGGAAACAATCTGGACCTGAAGGTAAGCCACGAAGGAAACAATCTGGACCTGAAGGTAAGCCACGGAGGAAACAATCTGGACCTGAAGGTAAGCCACGGAGGAAAACCATCTGGACCTGAAGGTAAGCCACGGAGGAAACAATCTGGACCTGAAGGTAAGCCACGGAGGAAACAATCTGGACCTGAAGGTAAGCCACGGAGGAAACACTCTGGACCTGAAGGTAAGCCACGAAGGAAACACTCTGGACCTGAAGGTAAGCCACGAAGGAAACAATCTGGACCTGAAGGTAAGCCACGGAGGAAACACTCTGGACCTGAAGGTAAGCCACGGAGGAAACAATCTGGACCTGAAGGTAAGCCACGGAGGAAACACTCTGGACCTGAAGGTAAGCCACGAAGGAAACACTCTGGACCTGAAGGTAAGCCACGAAGGAAACAATCTGGACCTGAAGGTAAGCCACGGAGGAAACAATCTGGACCTGAAGGTAAGCCACGGAGGAAACAATCTGGACCTGAAGGTAAGCCACGGAGGAAACACTCTGGACCTGAAGGTAAGCCACGGAGGAAACAATCTGGACCTGAAGGTAAGCCACGGAGGAAACAATCTGGACCTGAAGGTAAGCCACGGAGGAAACAATCTGGACCTGAAGGTAGGCTACGAAAAAATGAATGACCAATGTAACGTTCTAAACCCCAAAAATATATCAAGAAACCTGTAGTTACTGGTAGATTAAAGTGCAGTACAACACCTGTAAAACACCACTGTACAAAAATAGGTAACTGCAATATATTAGAAACAAGTAGTTTGCTCGAGCGAAGGCTTGCTTTCTAGAATTGGGAGTACTAGAGCCTAATCTCAGCACATTATTAAGAAGCTAGTGAGAGAATATCACATTAATAAATCAAAGGTTGTGTAAAGTCCCAGTCATAAGTTCCGCAAGTCTAAGAGAAACATTAAACTATAAGGGAGACATTATTTCCCCTACACATGTATACATGTTATACAGGTGTAACAGCGCCTCTTCTTACCGACTTATGAGCTTGGGTAGACATGACTCTCTTACTGAACATGATTACCAAGGCCATGATTACCATGAACATGTAAACAAAGAAAACAGGGCTCTTATGAGAGCCGTATTTGATGATGATTGATAAAGATTAAGCCACCCAAGAGGTGGCACGGGTTATGAATAGCCCGTAACGTACTTGATATTTCCTTGTTATCTTGAGATCTTGAGTTATCTTGAGATGATTTCGGGGCTTTTTAGTGTCCCCGCGGCCCGGTCCTCGACCAGGCCTCCACCCCCAGGAAGCAGCCCGTGACAGCTGACTAACTCCCGAGTACCTATTTACTGCTAGGTAACAGGGGCATTCAGGGTGAAAGAAACTTTGCCCATTTGTTTCTGCCTCGTGCGGGAATCGAACCCGAGCCACAGAATTACGAGTCCTGCGCGCTATCCACCAGGCTTTCGTGGCCCCTTCCTTGTGTATGGAAAGTTGTCAATGAACGTGTGGTGTCATGCCAACTGACATTAATACTTATCATAAAACTGCGTAACCTTTATATCGAGTACATAAGGCTTATAGAGCAGTTGCTCTGAACACGATTTGAACAAAATCTTGTACGTCGGGGAATAATAGGGAAGGAGCGATGCACTCCTGTATCTGTAAAGTCAATGGTAAGCTTTTGGTTCAAAACTGTTCAGGGAATTATTAAAGTGTAGAATACTAAGGATTATTTATATATCATCAATTAACTAAGGATGTGGTGAAATGGTCAACTCGGTTATTATATATGGGTAATGGAGGGAGGTTGAATGGGTAATTTATTGATTTAACAAATTACTACAAGTTCATGTTGAAATTAATTCATTTTAATTACTGTATATTTTTGGATTAACTTATGTATACATCAGAATAATGTAACTTAGTTATTATGTATTAAAATATTATAGCATAGTCTAAACTCAAACTGTTTTCTGTTAATATTCTGATGAAGTCAAATTCTAAAATGTTCTTATTTACTTACAGCCAGAGAACTTGCTAATAGACATCCTGAGAACATCAAACAACACTGACTCGTGTGAGATTATTAAAGATGACGGCCCGCCGGCTATTCGCCTTATTGATCTTGGTAGCGCTAGACGAATGCTGCCTACAGTTCATAGTGGCAATACAGATGCTCCAGGTTCCGTTGATGGCAGCATTTCTCCACCTGCCAGTGACTTGAGGCTTCCTGATGACGACGTCTCCCTGATGAGAGTGCCCTCTGACCAACTTCCTCCACTGCTTGGTTCCCCGGAGTTCATGGCCCCGGAAATGTTGTGTAGGAATGATGTCGGTGTCCAGGCTGACTGCTGGAGTGTCGGTGTGCTGATATACGTCCTTGTGAGGTGAGTGAGACTTGCCGCGTTACATCTGGCACCTCCGTGATATAATAACATTCATACCAGCAATTACGGCACATGTACATTCGAGTATAACTAGCAAGGCTCATTATGTATACACCCTTTTTACACAACAGTGGGCGGTCCCCATTCCTGGGCACGTCTCCGGAAGCGACTTGCAAGAAGATCCTTTCTGGTGACGTGCGTTACCCCGTGGAGCACTTCGTCTCCGTCACCCAGGAAGCCTGTGATCTGATCCGGGACATTCTGGCGCAGAAGCCAGCAGACAGGCCGCACCTGCAAGACATACTAGCGCATCCTTGGTTTAGCATGGTAATACCTTCAAGCCTCTCTCTTTACCAATTGTTTCTTGCACCAAATGACTCAACTAATATGATAGTACTTACAACTACTATTTGGTCAAACGTACAAAATATGTAGTTGGCCCAAAAAGTTTATTAAAACATTCCTAGGCCATGTATAACACATGCCTACTATATTAGGCCTAAGAATATATTAGGCTTAGGATAGCGTGGACAGATTAGGTTAATCAGTTTTTGAGGTCATTTGGGCAGTGAATTGTTTTGGAGTCTAACTAGATATTTTCTGTACGTTTGACCAAACACTTGCTGTAAATACTATCATTTAATAGGATTGGCTGTAATATTATGTGGTCACACAAAGACAACTTGATGAGACCTCACAGTATTTCTTTCGTGTAGAGATAATACCATTGTGTTCTTTTTACTCGCTGTCAAGATTCTGTGAGAGTGAGTGTTCCTTGATTATATAACTTTGTTATAATTGTAATAATAATATAATAAAAATTATATTATTACAGAGCGTGCCCAACCATTTGTCCCGCCCCGGAATCGAAGCTATAGAAGCAGTAACTCTAGACGTGCTTTATTCACTTCCAGTCTGTACTGCTGTAATGGGGGAGGGTAATTAGACAAGGGAACGAAAATTAATAGTGAAATTAACTTAAATGGTGGGAAAAAATGAATATTATAACATAATATTCAAATGTCAGTCATTTGCACTGTACACACTTCCTAAATTAATCTAACATACACCTTTCTAAGCCTAGTATAATAAAATTAATTTACTATATATTTGGGAAAAAGTTATTACACGGTGTAAAGTATTAATTCTCTTGGTTGGCTGCCAGATGTATCAGTTAAATATTGACTTATTAATGTCTGCTCGGGTCACAACCGAAAGGTCCCGGGTTCGATTCCCAACCAGGCAAACGATTTCGTTCACCTAACAACTCTGTTCACCTAGGTCAGCAGTTGGCCTAGGGGGACCTGGATAAACATAACAGGCTTTCTATTTTCGACTATAGGAGAGCAACCAGTCACCTCGCCAAACACCTCGCATTTTCTACTGACTCTACCAATCCGTCAATAATGCGACCTATCGGTAAAAACAAGAGCATCTTAATATTGACGTTTGCTATGGATCGGCCTCGATAGTTCGGGTTTAAGTGCTTACGTTAGTAAATTTCAGGTTAGGCAAGGCAGTAACTTTTTTTTTTTTTTAAAGGGTGAGAAATAGAGACAAAACGCGGAACAATAAAAGGAGGAACCATATGTAGAAAAATAAAAGCATTGATTGTTTCTATATAAATTTGTGATTGTTGATCATTTTTACAGGGTGAATGTGAGAGCGTGTTGCCCATCCAGAGCCTGGCAGACTACTCCTTCAGGAGGGCCAAGCTGGCGTCCTCAGCGCTCCAGATCACTCCTCCTCCTTCTTCCTCCAACTGAATGTTGCTGAACGTTCTCGCTTCTCTTCCTGTAAATCTTCCTGCTAATAATTATATTCCGGTTGTGTACAAGAAACTTATATACTCATAATGTGTGTGAATATACTACCCGTGTACATTTGGTGATTTGAATTGTATATACTGCCTGCAGGCATATATATATATGTATGCATATATCGAGGAAATTATATGAGTTATACTATATATTATAGGAAATAGTTGCTTAACAAGGCCTTTACAAAAGGAATAACTATGTGTGTAAACATGTCAGACTGTTGCGATATCACTAATATTAATAATACAGTTGAGGATATTTATTACCAAAGGCAGTAATAGTCAACAGTTATCTGGTTTATGTATCATTGTTAAATAAATAGTATGCCAATGTTGTCTTCCTTAACCCTCGCTGGTAGAGGCCAGATTCACGAAAGCACTTACGCAAGCACTTACGAACCTGTACTTCTTTTCTCAATCTTTGGTGGCTTTGCTTCCAATTATTAAACAGTTAATGAGCTCCAAAGCACCTGGAGGCTGTTTATAACAATAACAACAGTTGATTGGCAAGTTTTCATGCTTGTAAACTGTTTAATAAATGTAACCAAAGCCGTCAAAGATTGAGGAAAGATGTACACGTTCGTAAGTGCTTGCGTAACTGCTTCGTGAATCTGGCCCCAGGCTGCCACAGTACTTTGGGGCAGAATAAATTACAGTTTTCTTTACCAATTTCAGTGGTAATGAATATATTATGAACCTTGTGCGATGGGTTTTTGCAACGTCATTTATGCGAAGCTCATTTTAGTAGACACTATCAAGTTTTCTTGACACCGGGATAAGGGGAGTATCCTTGATTAGATAAGTTAATTGCCTCAACGTTAATTTTTATCTTAATTATAAAGAGATTATATTTGATTAGAATTAGTGTTTGACTCATTTTGCTTAATTGATCAAAGACACGCTTCCTATCGTTATAATCTCTCTCTCGTCTCATCCACAACTCATAAATAGAACATTAATCAGCATATTATACATGCATAAACCCATCACTGATGAACCCTATACCTGCGGTGATTCAGAGGATCAACCTCCCCGCGGCCCGGTCTCTGGCCAGGCCTCCTCGTTGGTGGTACGGTCAACCAGGCTGTTGGGCGCGGCTGCTCGCAACTTGACGTATGAATCACAGCCTGGTTAAGTATCCTTTGGGGGTGTTTGCAGAGTTCTTTTTTGAACACCGTGAGAGGTCTGCCAATTATGTCCCCTTATGTGTTGCAGGAGCGTGTTCAACAGCCCTTGGGCCCTTGATGTTGCAACTTGCCCTCTTAATACAACGTCACATTTTGACGTATATTTTACATAAGGGCAAAAATTGTCGTACAAGAAAATGGTAGCGGCTCGCATAATCTGCCTCGTTTTCTGTTTTGGGTCCTCTACTTACCTTGTCTACCTTGTGTATCTTACGGAGATCAACAGCCCCGCGGCCCGGTCTCCGACCAGACATCCCAGTTGGTCGATAAAAGCCAAAACGTGTATAAATACACTCTGGCTTCCTGTCCCCCGATACAGTGAATTATTATTAAATTATTATCCAAAGCGGCCAATATTGTCAACCAAAAGTCGACGGAACTATAAGATCCTAAGGGGTCAATAAATGGCTGGGCGGTCAATAGGGGGTCAGAAAAGGCTGGGGGTCAATACCTGGTTTACAAGTGGATTCGTATACCGTCTGATTTCGAAACAGAAAATGCAGACATTCATTCTTAATTGCAAGGAGAACTTGTTGAGCTCTAAGCAAAGGCATTGTTCAGAGGTAAAATCTTCAAAGACTATTGGAACAATGCAAATACCGCTGCTAAAGATCGCCTGCTTTGTGCAGCGGTTAAGTCTTGAGGTCTGAAGGATAAAGCCTAATTCGGACTGCCAAGACTTTTTTTTAACTTAATGTTTAGCAATCAACCACAAAAAACTGAAAAGCAAAAATATTTTTGTCGAGGGTGACTAAACTCACTCTCGACAAATTGTGGGCACCTGAGGCCAGATTCAAGAAGCAGTTGCGCAGGTGCTTACGAACGTATACAACTTTTCTCAATCTTTGAGGGCTTTGGTTACATTTATTAAACAGTTTATGAGTACGAAGACTTCCCAAACAATTGTTGTTTTTGTTATAAACAGCCTCCTGGTGCTCGGGAGCTCATTAACTGTTTAATAATTGTAAACAAAGCCGCCAAAGATTGAGAAAAGATGTACAGGTTCGTAAGTGCTTGCGTAACTGCTTCGTGAATCTGGTCCCTGGTAGCTGGCGGGTACCAGGTGGGGGAAACCTGGCGGTGATTCCTGGCTCTACCAGGTACCGCAACTTGTATAAAATGTAAGCAAATTCCCACAGACGTGGAATCAGTAGCTCTAACACTCAGATTTAAGAAACCTGATTTCCACACTTATAGTAATTGACCTTCATCGGAATGCGTCAGCTGCTTTCATCCTGCCTACGGTACTCAGGCTATCAACGTATACAAGACACCTCCCCCCCCCCCCCTTCTACCACTACCCCCTCCCCCGCCCTTCACCACCCCCCACCCCACCAAAAACAGCATTGGGCGGCCATTTTTTTCCATAGTGGGTTGTCTCCTTCCTGGTGGAAGTGACGACTGCGTAGCACGGTGCACAAGTGAGTCTTCTGACATTATGTTAAATAAAAGATGTACATTCCAGGTTTAAGGAGTTAGTGAGACGGAAATTGAGGGTGGGTTGGGTGTGGTGGTGGGTGGGTTGCGTGTGGTAGTGGGAGGGTGGGTCATGTGTGGTGATGGGTGGTGACCGTGTGGTTAAGAATCAGTATTTACGTTAAAATCTTGCTCTTTGGGTCTGGGTCTCCCGCCTCCTAGCTATTTGCAGGTTACATTTTAAATATCATGACGTACAAATTGTCGTATGTGCTCTTGAATCGGTGAATGTGGATGAGGTGTTCATTCAGTGCATTCGGGGCATTCGGCCTGAAATGAGTCACATTCAGAAGCGCGGGGCGAGTGTGTTACCACTGCGCCACGGAGACGGCAATTACTAGCATCTCCTTAAATGTATACGCCGTAACAGCTTTTCTATCCATCATTTACGGTGCTCCATTGTAACCAGACTCGCAGCTGTTGTTCATAACCGTCCAGTCTGATAAGCCGTCCTACCAATATCAAGTATTCATTTTCAATCGACTTGAGAATGGTCCAGAACGAACCGAAACGTCGTCGTCCCTTCACCTTCTAGTGTGTGGTCTGGTCAACTTACTTTAGCCACGTTATTGTGACTCATCACCTGCATATTCATCATTTGTTGTTCTCGTTATAATTTCCAGAATCTAGCAACCTGAATCAGTTACATCTGTACCCTCATCAATTGCAATATCAAATGTAATAGAGGTTTTAATCACTCTCTCTCTCTCTCTCTTCGAGAATGATTAATACTCGTCTGGTGTTAGTGAACTTAAGAGCCATGAATAACTGATATTTACTGACATTCACAAACATCTTACTCTCACGGACCTCCAAGCACCTCGTTTTGAGAGGATGTAACACAGTAATTTGCTAATACATATGCAACACCTTTAACTTAAACTGTACTAGTTGTGTCCTGTGGCTAGCATGTTTGACAGGTGAGGTAAGAACGTTTCGCCATTAACCCGCAGAAAAAAATCAAGTTGGACGTAGTTAATGTAAGTTGGAGTTCAGTTTCCGTAGAGTGCTGACAAACCATAACGGATAATTGTGCAACCTGGACGGATATTTATTTTATTTATATATACACAAGAAGGTACATTGGGATTGTGAGGATACATAGCATAGTAATTACATTCTTGTAAAGCCACTAGTACACGCAGCGTTTCGGGCAGGTCCTTAATCTTTTATATATTTATATATGTATGTATACTTACATACATACACACACAATATTAGATCATTTCAATCCATAGCCGATAGGAAACTTGTGCCTGTTCTGGTAGTATACAGTTGTTATACAAGCGTGCTTGTATAAGAACCGTCCAGAATGGGTGGAGTGTAATTGTTGGAGGGGTGCTTTATTGATCGATTAATTTGATAATCATCACAACGCAGTTAAAACACATTGTACATCTAACATTTGGATTACCTTTAATGTATTGGCACTATTCCTTGAGAGGTGCCAAAGCGGAGGAAACAGGCGTCTGGAGGTAAACAGTGCCAAAGGAATTTTTTTTTATTAACACATTTATTTTCATCTGCATTTGTGCAGCTACCGTAGACTATAAGTACAAAGTATGTCAAGAACTAGCTACGTCATGCTAAAAAAATCCCCATCACACAAGATGGTTAGTCAAACAGGGATCATCAGGCCTAGAGCATACAAAACTCTTAGTGTCTACGATCTTTTGGCCACAAGACGGGGCTTCACAAGCGACAACTGCCCTCCGGGTCATCGGAGCATGCAGTACCAGTGGTGCAGTCGAGTGATAGAATAAGTGGGTGAAGTGCGATACATGGCGTGGTGTAGGGGAGCGATTGTAGGGGAGATTGAGTGAGGGGAGGAATGCACAAAGAGGTTTTGGGCGGATGGCAGGGAATGCTTAGCGAGTGACATGTTGGGTCGAAGACATGGCAGCCGGTTGTACTAATATGCCAGCGGGTGGGAGAAGTGAAACAGCGGGTGGGAGAAGTGAAACAGCGGGTGGGCGAAGTGAAACAGCGGGTGGGCGAAGTGAAACAGCGGGTGGGCGAAGTGAAACAGCGGGTGGGCGAAGTGAAACAGAAGGTGGGCGGAGTGAAACAGCGGGAAGACACAGTGAAACAGTAAGCGAGGCCTATGTAGGGTCGGGCCATGAGGTGGGCGGAGTCTAGCCGCATGTGGGCGGAGGGAGAGGGGGGATGGGTGGACGAGAGGGTGTAGAAAGTGAGAGTGAGCGAGCAGCAGTAGCAGACACAGACCAGCCACCATGATAGCTGCACCGCTGCCGATCCTCGTCCTCTGCCTCGCCCTGGGTCAGTTACTCTTTGTTTACCTATTCTTTATCACATGCTATTCACACATTATTTAACGACTGTTATCCTAATTTCCCTTATTGTATATAAACAATTCTACCAAAACACTCAATACTCTAACTTTCATACATGTGGTTATTTTCGCACCAGTGGCTTGCGTGTTGCAATTTTATTGTGTATGTTTAATATATATTTTTATTGAAGATCTCTGATCTTTAATAAAGTTTAAAAAATTATAAAATTCACGGTTTTAAATTTTCTTAAAAGTGTTTTTTCGAAGTAATGAAACTTGTAAAATGTGAACATTCAAGGATTTCAACATGCTTGAGAAGACATACTGTAAAACTGTAGACTATCAATGTGTTGTATCTATAATAACCAGAGCTACACTAGTAGGCCTGATAGACCACCGCCGTTAAGCCAAATAAAAATAACGTTTCTGTATCTTACCTCTACAAAACTTTGTAGGTAATGAATATATTATATTGGTTACATTAATTACACATTTATTAAAGCCTATAGTGTTTCGTTAAGCAGAATTAAGGAAACAGGTATATTTAGGAGAGGTTGCTAAGCTAGTTTTGGATTAAAATAAAAATGTTGTGTATTATAACGAAATCGAAAAGGGTAGTCAGCGCTGAACGCGCGCACGCACGCACGCACGTACACACACACACACACACACACACACACACACACACACACACACACACACACACACACACACACACACATATGGAAATAGGAAACACATGTGCGAATAGGCTTGCTGTCTCTAGCCAGAGAAATCTTGGAAAGGGCTTGAAGATGTTCGTGTGTGTGTGTGTGTGTGTGTGTGTGTGTGTGTGTGTGTGTGTGTGTGTGTGTGTGTGTGTGTATATATATATATATATATATATATATATATATATATATATATATCTGTACTGAGGCGCTGACTTACGTTGTAAATGTTGACCAGACCACACACTAGAAAATGAAGGGACGACGACGTTTCGGTCCGTCCTGGGCCATTCTCAAGTCGATTGTGTCAATGTTGATACGATATCAAGTCGATACGTTGTCAATGGTAAGGTATTGGGATTGTTGTTGTTGTTTCAGATTTAGCTATTCAGAACGAAGTATCCATGTAGCACGGGCTATGGTGAGCCCGTGAAGGTATTGGGAACGGCAGTAGGTATTTATATGTCTTGATGAAGTGCATGACGGAGCAGTGTTCAATGTGGGACGCAAGGGGAGGTAGGTAAGGGGGGTAGGTAGGGGTGAGCCTCTCTCATTTACACTCTTACACTCATTCTTAAACACACACACCAGACGCCATCACACCTCATACGGCCGTGACATAGGCCTGCGTGTACCTCCCCGTACAGCTTGGGGGAAATATTAAAATGAACAGAAACAAGAAAATGGGGAGCATGATGAGAATTATAACTGGAAGCGTGTCACGGAGCGGGAGGGAGAGAGAGGAGCCAGAGACCATTCTTCAAGAGTGGTGGCTTCGATTGTGACACTCTTCCTCGCTCACCTTCGCTCATGGAAAAAAAGAATGACAACCAAAAGAAGCAAAGAAATGGAAAACAAAGTAAAAATGCTGGCGAACCTTGAGGTATATAAACAGTTTGAATGCCACATAAGAGCTTCGCCGCCCCCCCCCCCCCCCCCAGACATCAGTTGCGTCAAATAAAGCTACAACCAGAAAAGTTGTGTAGGCCTACGTTTAGGTATATGTTATTCTGTTTCAATTTTGTTTTAGACCCTTTAGAACTTTTGCTGTAAAAAAAAATTGTTTGTTAAACTTCGATATTTCGTACATTCCTTCTATAATAGCCATTAATTCTATTATTTTTGGAGAATGGTTATCGCGTGTTGAACAAGCATCACCACACTATATCTATAATACGAAAGCGGCTTTAAATCACCTATTATCGGGGTCTAAGGGTCTGTTAGCCTCATGAGTTCCCCCTTAGCAAAGGCCGAGGCTGTCTCCGCGGTCACCCAACCAGTTAATAATACCAAGAATCAACTGTTTTCAGCGAACTGAATCATGCATAGACCTCTTTGTCCCACCACTCAGGGACACCCCCCCCCCTCCTCCCCCCTATCGCAGGGGCTCTCGTCCCCCCTCCTCTATCCCTGCATTTATAGGAGAGCATTTAATGCTAGGAAATAATAAGATTGTTGGTACACAGCTAAACATCACAGATAGGCTTCCACTGTATGAATGATGGGAATAATAATAATAATAATAATTATTATTATTATTATTATTATCTTTAGTAATAGTATAAATTGTCTCAATACTTTAAAATCAAATCAAACCGTGTAAGGTTTCTAGCCATAAAGGCGTAAATTCTAGCCATAAAGGCGTAAATTCTAGCCATAAAGGTGTAAATTCTAGTCATTCTACGGGTAAATCAAGAGATCCGGTGATATTTAGGCGGTAAATACTTGTCTACGATGTCCTCGTTAACCGTATGTTTAATACCCTGCGTGGACACGCGTCTCGCCTCAATCACAATGCATATTCCACTCACGGTTATTCACTCTACCTATTATTTTAGTTTAGGTAATGGACGCCAAATTGTCAGTATCTCTTTAGCGGAAGCCGTGACTTGTCGCAGGCAAGAGTCGTCGATAACTCTCATTAGTGACAAGCGAGAGTCGTCGATAAGTCTCATTAGTGACAGGCAAGAGTCGTCGACAACTCTCACTATTGACAGGCAAGAGTCGTCGACAACTCTCACCAGTAACAGGCAAGAGTCGTCGACAACTCTCACTTTTAACTTAACCAGTCTTCAACTTTTGTCTCAAAAACCGTCCTGACTTGTCCAATATTGTATAGCCTCATCCCTCAACAGGTCTATAATCCCTCATGATCTTATCTACAATTTTCCATCGCCTTAGAATTAGTCTACACATTTCCACTGTAAATTATATATGGTCACCTGTTTCTCTTCTGCTCTGGGTCAACAGGGGCGAGTTAGGATACCATCGACCCGTGGTCCCCTTCCCTCTTCCTTGACATTCACCGATGGTCTTGCACTGTTCACAACGCATAATGATCAGACCTAAATGTCGGCGGTTTTTTTTTGGCCTAAACTCGAGTACGTACACATGACCTAGCTGCTGACCCTTACTCTGGGACCACTAACGGTGAATATCTAAAATTGAGGTCATTAAAATGCCGTGTGTAGGAGACAGGCAAGGCAGCAGCAGCAGGTTAAGCCTGGGTCACCAAGCCTCGTCCCTCGCAACCTGTTTGACAGCCTCGCACCAACACCACTTGTCTACCTCACTATAAAACCCCTTTTATTCTACTCAGCCACAGGATCTAAGTTAAAATCTGTATTTTTGGGGGGTTTATTGTTTGAGATCCAAAGCAGATTGATCTACGCTGGGGTTTTGTGTGAGGAGCCATTAGGGACAGTCGTGGGTAGCAAGAGTGGCTGGTGTTAAGTGCATTTAAGTCACTCCGAGGTCCCATCCCACCACTGACCTTCTCGCGTCCTCCACCTCTCTCCTCGTAACTTTTGCTGTCGTTCATATTCACCTTTTAGATGTCGTCTCTTATAACAACCCGCTGCTTACTCTTTTACTCGCCGTAAGCTCTGATCGCTGAAGAATGTTATGCGTGAATCTCCACGAACTCTGATATATGACGGGAACTAATGATGCAGGCGGCGTTTCCTCTTTGGATCACCACATTGAGACGTTTTTACAGGAAGCCTCCAATCTTTGGATATTCAGCCGTATCATTGACCTTAGAAACCCTTACTATTTGAGATAGCTTCTGGCGCTTAACTGTCCACGGGAGACATCTCCCGTCACGCAGGGTGCAGTATCAGCTCTTGATACTGGTAATGGATCAAAAGGGCCACCACTTACGGGCTATTCATGCCCGTGCCACCTTTTAGGTGGCTTAATCTTCATCAATCATCAATCAGCTTAACTGTCCAGTTATAGCACCATCCTCACACAACGCAGGCACAGGTTCGACTATCCTCATCACCGTAATCAGTGACGAGGATGGTATTTCGGCATTGTTAGTTAACAGTTTCTTTAGGGATAGGGGGGGGGGGGGTTGGCGTTCCACACATCGGCATTATAAGGAAGTGCATGAGGGGACCTCTGTATCATTTTAGTGTCCGATGATAATTTGTGAAGTAAAGTAATTGGGAGGATGAAGCATTCAGCAACCATGATTATACATAGCACTTGGAAGGGTTATGAGGACAAGGAGCTGGGATATGAGGACAAGGAGCTGGGATACTGGGATATGAGGACAGAGTATAGGACCAGTGCCTAACCCCTCCGATGACTTCCCCAAGTAACTGATGATACGCAAATTGTACGAGATTGTAATTATTTAATGAAAACATATATGTAAAAAGGTCTAGCAAAGCTGAAAGATTAATGGCCAGACGGTTAACCTTCAAGTACTGTTTCCCCGTATCATCAGGTACACAGTACATCCTGGTGTGAGCTGACCCGCCTGACCTAACGGTGGACGAGGTCATGCTATCAAAGCCCACCAACGTCCTCCACAGTAAAAGGTGTTTCAGCCACCTCAGTGTACTTAAACCAGTGCCCTACGAGGCACCGTGAACAAACAATGGCAACCTCAGTACCGGTCAAACCACTCGATAAGCCGTTTTATGTAAACAAGATAACTCGGTGGCTCACTTAGACAACACATTC